GTTTTGTGCAAACGGAATGACATCAACAAATACAACGAAATAAATTATTTCTGGCCTTCAGTAACTGTATGAAAAAGACGTGCCATAGCTCAAGCGGTTAGTCGCTGGCTTTCCACCGCGGCGGTCCGGTTTGATCCCGGGTCTGATCAAGTGGGATTTGTAGTGGACCAAGTGGTGTTGGGGCAGGTTTCCTCCGAGTACTTCGGGTTCCCCTGCCAATCTTCATTCCACCAATTGCTCCACAATCACCCTCACCTATCATCTGGGGCTGGTACAATAGGCCAGAAGTGGCCGCAGTGCAAGGGACTTAGTCCCACACCACTAGCAATAAAAAAACTGTAAGAAATATCATAGTCTGCTATATTAGAAGCCGGGATAGCGTAGTCGGTATAGCGACTGGCTACGGGCTGGAAGAGGGAGGGGGTCGGAGTTCCGGTGCCAGTAAGGTCAAGAATTTTCTCTCCTCTACGTCGTCCAGACCGGGTCTGGGGCCCACCCAGCCTCCTATCCAATGGGTACCGGCGGCTCCTTCCCTGGGGGTAAAGCAGAAGGGGCGTTATGTTGACCACTCACCTCCAACTAGTGCCGTGGATCTATACATCCACTCCCCCATACGCTTTCATGGGGTAGTGCTTAATTAGTTAAGCACAGGAACTTTACCGTTCACTCTGCTACACTATCACCACTCGGCCCGTATGAGACATGAGACATACAGGGCTACGCAACTGTTATACACTGTAATTAAGGTTGAATGTTACACATGTCTGCTGACCGGATTACGGAGCCTGTAATGGCCTTACATTCGTGACAAAGCATTATTTTAGAGGAATAACTAATATCAAAATTCCTGTTCATAACTGACCGATTTCTGAATCCCTCCAGCCGCACTATAGTCCCAGGGTAGACTCAACCTCTGACAGAACTGAGTATCAGGAATCTTCCTGGGGGTAAGACGTGGTTGACGTCCATGACTGACAACCTCAGTGTCATTTGTGAGCCGTCTGTCTAGAAAATGTGGGAACCTCCACGTGTTACAACCGTATGGGCCTTCACGGCCTGTTACAGGGATGGCTTTACGTTTTTTAAAGGAATTCGTGCTCTTCTCAGTCGTGTGTTCCTTCAAATTCTATAAATGCTCCGTGAATCGTATGACATTTATTTACTTTACATCGGAATGTCTGTATCGAACAGCTCGCTGCTCGAAGCCCTCCAGAGTCGCGTCTATCGTGCTTTCTGCCCAATTCTTTTTGACTGGAAATGGTCATAATAAAGCAACACACATATCAACCGCACACGCTCATCACCGTGGACGTAACGGCAGTGACCAATCAATTATTTTATATGAGAATTATAACAATTCCATCAATTATTAATAATTCTTTATTATATTGACAATGTCATTTTATTATTCAAGGCAGTTTATTCAACATCAACACGTTCTTAATTTTAGATCTGTCCACTGTATAACTTTCACAGAGTAAGATTTACATGAATATCTGTGTCATTGTCAGATGTTGTGGAATTATTTAAGAGGATTTCATTCAATCATTCATCAACGGCTCTACAGCCCTTTGTTGGGTTCTGGCCTCTTCTTCAGTTTCGTTCTTTTTTTACACAGACGGTAGGACAACTTGGACGGGGGATCAGCCAGTCGCAAAGCCGCTACCTGCACACAGGACAACATAAACGCAAAATTAACGCAAACGCAGATATCCATGCCTTGAGTGGGATTCGAACCCACGATCCCGGCTTCCGAACGAGCGAAAACAGTTCATGCCTTAGACCGTGCGACCACTGTGATTATATGTACAGTACAGTAGAGAGGCGGCGGTCACGGTAGCCGAGCGGTCTAAGGCATTTAATGTCTTCGCTCGCTCGGAAGCCGGGATCGTTGGCTCGAATCCCGCTCAGTGCATGGGTGTTTGGTGTGTGTGTGTGTGTGTGTGTGTGTGCGTG